AACTCCCTGAGGGACTGAATTGCTGGGCAGAGGGCTGTGGGGACCATGGTCTCGGGGAACATCTAGCTCAATTGGCATAACGCAGTTTATAAAGAAAATGTTCTACATTCTACCTTGGTGAGTAGCATCTGGGGCCTTAAAAGCCTGTAAGCAGCCGTCTAAGATACTCCACTGCTTTCAACCCTTCGGGAGCAAGGGAGAATGAAGAAAATGAGATACAAGGGAAAGATTAGTCCAAAGGACTAACAGACCACAACTACCACAGCCCCAACCAGACTGAGGACTAATAGACCACAGCTACCAAGGCCTCCACCAGACTGAGTCCAGTACAGCTAGATGGTGCCCAGCTACCACCACTGACTGTTCTGACAGGGTTCACAACAGAGAGTTCCAGGCAGAGCTGGAGAAAAATGTAGAACAAAATTCTAACTCACAAAAAAAGACGAGACTCACTGGCCTGACAGAGACTGGAGAAACCCCGAGAGTATGGCCCCTGGACACCCTTTTAGCTCAGTAATGAAGTCACTCCCAAGGTTCACCCTTCAGCCAAAGATTAGACAGCCCCATAAAACAAAACAAGACATAATGGGGCACAACAGTCCAGGGACAAGGACTAGAAGGCAGGAGGGGACAGAAAAGCTGTTGGTAGGGAACCCAAGGTCAAGAAGGGACAGTGTTGACATGTCGTGGGGTTGTTAACCATTGTCGTAAAACAATATGTGTACTGTCTGTTTAATGAGAAACTATTTGTTCTGTAAACTTTCATCTAAAGTACAATTTAAAAAAAGAAATATTAGGTCATAATCTAGAGAACATCAAGTTTAACCTTGTCAGTGTAGCTACATCCTGACAGTTAAGCTGCTTCAGTTCATAGCAACATAGAGTTATTGGTCACCCACTATGTGACAAGCACTCTGAAAACTAGACTGAGGAGTTAGAGCAATAAAAGGCAAAGTGTAATATGTGGCTCTCTCCCTAACTTTCTTCTGGGGTCGACACAAATATCACTTCTTCAGAGAAGCCTTTCATGGCCACATGATATAAATAGCACCTTCTCCCACCACTCTCCATCCCTTCTAGCCTGCTTTAATTTTCTCCCTAGCACTTGCCACCACCTAACGTATATTTAGTTGTTTACTTCTTAATATTCTGTCTTCTCCAGCTGGAATGTTCTATCTCAAGTTCCTAGACAGAGCCTGGAACATAGTAGGCGCTTGATAAATATTAACTGAATGAACTGCAAGCTCAGCTGTTTGGAGAAAACCTAATGTATTTATTTTGTCTCTCAAAATCTGACCTTCTTCCCTACTCTTTCTTACCTACTAAAACCTAAAACCAAACCCATTGCCACTGAGTCAGTTCCAACTCATAGTGACCCTACTAGGGAGCAGAAAAGAATTAGTGTCTTAGTTATCTAGTGCTGCTGTAACAGAAATACCACAACTGGATGGCTTTAACAAAGAGAAATTTATTTTCTCACAATCTAGTAGGCTAGAAGTCTAAATTCAGGGCATCACCTCCAGGGGAAGGCTTTCTCTGTCCGCTCTGGAGGAAGGTCCTTGTCATCAATCTTTCCCCAGACTAGGAGCTTCTCTGCACAGAAATCCCAGGTCCAAAGGACACACTCTGCTCCTGGCACTGCTTTCTTGGTGGTATGAGGTCCCCATGTCTCTCTGCTTGCTTTTCTCTTTTATGTCTCAAAAGAGATTGGCTTAAGACACTATCTAATCTTGTAGACCTCATCAATATAACTGCCACTAATCCATCTTGTTACATCATAGTGATAGAGTTTACAACACATAAGGAAATCACATCAGATTACAAAATGGTATATAATCATACAGTACTGGGAATCATGACCTAGCCAAGTTGACAGATATTTTGGGGGGACACAATTAAATCTATGACATTAGTAAGTGTCCCAGCCAATTTAAAGCTATACTCCATCCGATAAAGGCCCATTAGGAATGTTCAGTCTCTCTTAAATAAAATCTTCACTCTCTAAGCTTCCTCCTTGCCCTGCTTCTTACCCCAAAGTGGCATTCAGGTATAAGTACGCATGCATATGGCTTGCAAATCAATAATCATTGACCTGAAGATATTTAAAATCTTGTCTTTTCCACTTAGGCATTTATTGCTGAAATGCAAATGGTGGCTGAAATTCTTCAACATCTAGTTCAGAGGCCTGAGGATTATTTGGAAAATATTGAAGACATTATTAAACTTTATAAGGAAACGATTCTTCATCCTATAGAAGTAAGAACAAGATATGTTTCTGAAAAGGAGAGTGTTGATATTTGTGTTCTATCACTGGTTAAATACCTTTCGCATTTCTTCATCTCTATATATTATCTGTCTGATTCTCCTCTAGAGCCAGGTAGAAGGCTGTTAGAGTAAGGCTTTCACCTCAAAGGCTATTTCATAGAGCAATATGTATTTTACTCTTACAAAGCAGCTATGTTGCTGAAAAGTGATAAATGAACTGCATTTTCCAAAAGTCACTAGGGAAATTTATTTATGGATGATGGTTAGGAAACTCATGTTAAAAGACTATTTTGTAAAAGCATTTTCAATCCCTAATTTATGGGCTTATCAAAACAAGTGTACACTTAAGGTGCATCTTTTGTTCTAAAAGGAATTGTTAATTTGGTTAAATGGTAATCTAAAGAAGAGTTATCTTCAGACTGGTTTCTATGGTTATCCCATTCAAAGTTGATTATATGTAAACTTGATAAGACTATTATATATTATAATGGGAATTTTTAATTAAAATAATTAACATTTAAAATAGTATGATTACTGTGATAACAATTATGTGAAAAGTGTATTTTATGCTGTCAAAAATCCAGGGAAGAATGTGCCAATTATAGTTAGTTGTGTTGGAGATTTATTCAGCAAACATTTATTCAACATGACTATTTGTCCAGATGCTGCACTAAGCACAAGAACTATAAAGACAAATAACAGTCAAGTTCCTCTTCCCATCTAATAGAGAAACTAAAAGAATTTGTTTTTGCTGTTTTAATGGTGTTTATGTATTTTAAGAGAAATGAGTGGATACTTTTCATTCTCATTATCCACCCCCCAAAATTAAATTAAATTAAATTGTTTTTCTTATGTATGACTTTTATATTCTCCTCCTCTCCTTCTGTCAAACCAAAAAAACCAAACCCATTGTCATCTAGTCGATTCCGACTCACAGCAACCCTATAGGACAGAGTAGAACTCCGTAGGGTTTCTAAGGAGCAGCTGGTGGATTCAGACTGCTGACCTTTTGGATAGCAGCCAAGCTCTAAACCATCACAGGCCTTAAAACACAGCTTCTTAGAAGTAAAGTACATATGTACCAAAAACATCCTTTTTTCCTTCAACAAAAATACCCTGAGTACTCTTTAAGTGGCTGGCACTGGGTATGAAGTAAAGCATAATTAGAATCCGATTCAGAAAATTAGATTCATGGTGGGAAAAAGCAAAGGTAGTCTCTACAAGGACAGGGACCAGGTCCTCCATCTTAGCATCGCTGAAGCCCAGTGCAGCACCCACAGTGGGAAGTGGTGAATGCTCAACAAAGTGCTGCTGAACAACCAAAGAGGTCGCAAAGGAAAAAGAAGGATAGCTTCCATTTCATTAAGTGTAAAACTTCTAGAAATTAAAAAAAAAAAAAAAAAGCCCACTCAAATTAAAAGAAGACAAACTGGAAAAATATCCACATTAAACATGATAAAAGATTTACAGCTTTGATCTATTAAGAGGTCATAAAAATGATTTTTTTTAAACCTATAACTCCATACCCTCCTTAAATTGGAAACAAATATGAGCAGACAATTCACAAAAATAAAAGAGAAAAAGGATTAAAGAACCTGTGGAAAAATGTTCAACCTCACTAATAATGAAGAAATGCAAATTTGAATAATGAAATATCATTTCCACTATCACATTTTAGAAGATGAACAGATATTAAGAATTCTTAATGCTATCAAGTACTGATAAAGGAGACACTCTCATACCCTGTCGACAAGAATATAAATTAGTATGGCCTTTTTAAGGAGCCATGGTGGCATGGTGGTTAAGCACTTAGCTGCTAATCAAAAGGTTGGTGGTTTGAACTCAACAGCCGCTCCAAGGGAGAAAGATGTGACAGTCTGCTTCCGTAAAAATTACAGCCCTGGAAACCCTATGGGGCAGTTCTGCTTTGTCCTGTAGGGTCACTGAGTTGGAATCAACTCTTCAGCAACAGGTATGGCCTTTTTTGAATAGCTTTTCCGCAAAAAGTCCAGAAGTGGAAAACTTCTAGGCCCTGCAGAAAGGCATAGATAAAATGTACTGCCCTAGTGCTGACAAAGCAAGAATTTCAAAGTCAAGAACTTAGACTTTCAGCCTAAGTGACACTTGCTAAATGGTAAAACAATTGCCTTCTGTGGTAATTCCAGAGTGGGGAGGGGGGGTATCATAAAATCTGACCTGGCTGATATATCACCTCACTTGGGTGGCCAAGATCACCAAAATTTTAAGTAAAAGAAAAAGAAATGCTTGAAAAACAAAACTAACAAAGCATTGTTACCTACCTAAATGTCAAACAGCAGAGGAACTTTAAATAAATTGTGCTATAGCCACAGTATGTAATTTTATAAAACCATCAAAATGTTGTAATGACAGTGAGCTTGTAAAAGTAAAGAGAGAGGTTAATTATATGTTTAGTGAAAAAGTAAGCTCTGAAGTTGTATATAGGTTATGATCTCAAACATGCAAAAAAAAAATGTTTTCACAGAGTACAAGAAGGAAGGGAAACTGTAGTAGTAGAGTTACCTTTGGGTGGCTGGATTAGAAGAGACATATTTTGCTTCTCCTTTTCTGTTTTCTAAATTTTCTATAATAAAGATGTCTTTTATAATACAAATGTACTTTATTTTTTATTGATGATATTATCTAGATGAAGAAAGCCTGTGTGACTTAAATTTCAGTCAGAATCTTCTCTGGTTTCAAAACCAGATACCAAAGCTTCAATATATGTAGATAAACAAACTCCCCGAAACATTTTCTATTGGAAAGGACATTAAGACTTCAGTATAGAGAAAAAAGGAGAAAATAGAAGGGGAATAAAATTGATGGTAGGAAGACTAGTTCTGGCTTGTATAATAGATCACTGAAAATTATGAATGTTATACCATATATAAAGCAAAGGATTTAACTTTAAAGATTTCTTCATGGTATGTTAAGATTCTGATCTTGTATTCAGTTTTCCCTATAATCCTGAATTATTAAGATTTCTGTTATCTGCAGGAAATAATGGCTGAGCACAATTCTCAGTATCTCATTGAGCTAGATGGAAATAAGCCACCAGAGGAGCTTTTCCTGGTGAGTACAATTATCAGAAAGAGTATCCCACAATTTAGAAAATTAAAAAATTATTGACTGTATTGTTCTTATTCTAATAAACATCAGAAATACATTTATGTTTTTGATACAACCTATTTTTGAAAAATTCATTTTGACACTTAAAATTTTGATGTTGTATTTATTTATCTGTCTATATTTAAATCAAAACTACTTTTGAATTTGAAAGTGCCTCAAAGAAAAGTAAAAGCAAGTAACAGCCAATAAGCACATGAAAAGATGCTAAACATCATTAGTCATTATTGTTGTTAGTTGCTGTCAAGTCGATTCAGACTCGTGGTGGCCCCATGTGTGCAGAGTAGAACTGTTCCCATAGGGTTTTTCAAGTCTGTGACCTTTCAGAAGTAGATCACCAGGCCTGTCTTCTGAGGCGCCTCTGGGTGGGTTTGAACTGCCAACCTTTTTGCTAGTAGTCCAGCATTTAACCATTTTCAACACCCAGTGACTCCATTAGTCATTAGGGAAATGCAAATCAAGCCCATAATGAAATTCCACTTCCTTAGAAGTAAGGGTGGTGGAATTTCGGCTCCTTTACTTTGGACATGTCATCAGGAAAGACCAATCACTAGAAAAGGGCATCTTGTTTGTAAAAGTAGAGGATCAGTGAAAACAAAGGAAACCCTCACTGAGATGAATTGACACAATTCGAAAAACAGTGGACTCATGCATACCAACAATCATGAAGATGAGATAGGACCAAGGAACATTTTGTTCTGTTTATGCATAAGGTCCCCACTAGTGGGAGCTGACTCAACGGCAACTAGCAACAACAGGATGACTTAAAAAAAAAAAAAAAAGATAGTTGCAAGTGTTGGTGAGGAATGTAAAAGTGGTGCAGCCACTTTGGAGATGAGTTTGGCAGTTCCTCAAAGGTTAAGCACAGAGTTACCACATGACTCAGCAATTCTACCCCAAGGTATATACCCGAGAGAAGTACAAGCATATGTCCACACAAAAATTTGTACGTGAATGTTCATGGCAGCATTATTCACAATAGCCAAAACATGGAAACAACCTAAACGTCCATCAAGTGATGAACGGATAAATAAAATATTCCATACTATGAAATATTGTTCAGCAATAAAAAGAAATGAAGTATTGACGACACATGCTGTAACTTAGATGAACCTTGAAGACGTTATGGTAGGTGAAAGAAGCCAGCCACAAAAGACCACCTAGTATATGATTGCATTTATATGAAATGTCCAAAACAGGCAAATCTATAGAGATAATAAATAGATCATGGTTGCCTAGGATGGGGGTGGTAAGAGTGAGTGTGGTAAGGGGGAAGGTGGGGAATAACTACTAATGGATACAGGGTTGCTGTTTGCCATAATGAAAATGTTCTAAAACTAATTGTGATAATAATTGCACAACCCTGAATATACTAAACACCACAGAAATGTACACTTTAAATGAGTTAATTATATGGTATGTGGATTATAGCTGTTTTTTAAAAGAATATATATAAGAAAACTACAATATCGTTTTCACTCTAAAAATAAGCAAATGACAACGTGAGAGAAATATTTTCCATACTTATTATAAACGAAAGTTGACTATCCTTAATTACTTAAAAAAAAAAAAAGCCTCTGATATTTCAATAGGAAAGGTCAAGTGACTCAATAGAAAAAATAGGCAAAGGGCATGAAGGCAATTTACAAAGAAACGTCCAATAAATATTTTTTCAAATGGCTGTAATCTAATTGTTAGTCTAAGAAATGCAAACTTAAACAATGAAATACCATTTTCTTGGCAGATTTAACAAATGTATCCAACACCTGGGATTTGGGGAGGGTTTGGGAAAATGAGTGCTCCCTTATGCCCTGTCCGTAGGAGCATACAGTGGCACCGATTCTGAAAAATAATATGACATATGTATATCCAAAGGGTTTTTTAAACTGTCTATACTCTTTGTAAGGAGCCCTGGTGGGTCAGTTTGAAGTGCTCAGCTATTAACTGAAATATTGGCAGTTCAAACCCTCCAGCCGCTCCACGGGAGAAAGATGTGGCAGTCTGCTTCCATAAAGATTTACAGCCTTTGAAACCCTACAGAGCAGTTCCACTTTGTCCTATAGGGTCGCTATGAGTTGGAGTCAATGGCAGTGGGTTTGGTTTGGTTTTGTACCACGGACTACTGCACACCATCGTGACTTTGTCCTCAGTATTTCTCATCTCAAATTCTATGTACTACCCACCGAAAATACAACAAAATATTATTTTTTAGAAATTTCTGTGTGCTACTCTCATTTTTGCCCCAGATTCTTCCACACAGTGTCCTGACAGCATAATTCTTGAGATTCAAGAACAAAGAGAGAGCCTTTTTACCCCTTACCCCTGTGTTCATATATACAGTCCCACGGAAGGATTCCACTTGGCCCAGCTTGAACCACGAGTCCATCTCTAGGTCACTCTCCAGCTGGGGAGAGGGGAGACTATAACCGGGCAGGCTTAGAGCACATGAAGGCTAGGAGAGGCGAGGGAGGTGGGAAAGTGTCAGGGTTGGTGATCTGTAGCTCCACCAGAATCAAAGTGGGGATGGAGCCATTTTCCAAAGAAAGTAGAGGTGCTGTTATGAAAAGAAGGGACTATTGAGACGCTAGATAAGCAAAAGCTGTAGTTGTCCACCTCAGGACTGGTATTCCTATATTCTGGTTTTAAGAGTTCTCTGCAATGTGGGCAGATGCTAACAGGCAATAACCACCGGTACTAGAGGAAGGAAAGAGTCCGTGATTGCTGTGGCAAGTCCTCTAATAATGACAGGTGTTAGCTCCCTGGGGAGTTTTAACTGTAATCGTTTTGATACCAGGATATAGTGGAGTGGACAAGTTCTTAGTTTCATAATTGTAAAATAAAGACGTTATATCAGCTTGTCTCTTGTAACTCCAGAATATTTATTTTGCTTCCATTTCTTCCCCCAAACTTACCTGGATTTTATAATCAATGAAAAAGATAAAGTGCTGCACTTTCCCAGAATGTTTGAGACATTCAAATGCCAATGTCTAAACATTTGTTCTTTAAATTTAGACAGTGATGGAGCGACTTAAATATCTGAACCTAAGAAGAGCAGCTGTTATAACCAAACTTCAGAGTGCAGAGGAAGAAATTAATGACATAATGGAAACTGTAAGTTCTATTTAACTGGCTGAAAGTCTACTGTTTCATTACCATATATTGTGACCTTAAGTTTGTATACTTTCAAGGTCTAAAAGGAGTTGCAGGATATCTTTTATAAAAATGGGTTTGACATCTGCAGAGAAGCTGTAATATTAGCCAAATAAAACACAACAAAACAGAAGTTTTGAAACAAAGACAGACAATAAAATCAGAACAATTAACGACAGTAGTAACGAAAAGGAAAGAAACCCAGGTTCAGTTTAAAAATCTTTCAGCACCAAAGAAGAATAAAACCGTAAAAGCCCTCAACTCCAAAAGCACTCATTCATTCTTTCAGTCATTCAGCCAACTTTTTTGAATGCCTATTGTGTTCCTGACACTGATACATTACAGACTGATGGTGGTCAAATTATAACTGTGCTAAGTGTTAAAAGGGCCACAAGCACTATTAGAGGATTTGATCTATTCTGGGAAGTTTAGTTTTACTTGTGTAAATAGAAATGAAAAAAGAAATACCATAATCATAAATAGATCTCATAATGCAAAAAAATAATTGTTGAAGAAAGAGGCAATTTTGCTATCCTATGCTGTGTAATCCATAGACCTCAATGGGTGAGCTTGGCTGGAACATGAGCTGAGACCTCTGGTCAGCCCAGAGCCTGGGAAAAGTAACCTGTGTGGTAGGCCTCCTCTTCTAGGTCTTCACTGAAGGCAAAAGAAAAAGCATCCACAAAACCTGGTTTAAAGGGTGAGAGAAGATATAACACCTGATGAGTTGGGAGAAGAGGTAGGGTGTGTGTGTGTCTGGGTGTCTGGGTGTGTGTGTCAGGCTGGCACCCAGCACAGTAGAAGGTAACAGCATTGGTTTTCAAATCAGACAGGCTTGGATTTGAATTCTGGCTCTCTAGCTTACCAAATCTGTGAGTTTGCTTCACCCTTTATTTAATGGCAAAAAGGGTTAACAACCCTTACCACATAGGGTTATTGTAAGGATTAAATGAGATGATGCTTGTAAGGCAGGGCTTCCAACTCCTGTTGGAACCCCTGCTGGCAATTTGCATTTCTAACAAGTTCCCAGGGAGTTATACCTAAGAATCACCTGGGGATCTTGTTAAAATATAGATTCTGATTCAGTATATCTGGGGTGGAAATGCAAATTCTCAGCAGGGAACTTGTTAGAAATGAAAATTCTCAGCAGGGGTTCGAACTGGAACAAACTGTTTCAAAGCCCTGTTGTAAGGTACCCAGAACCAGTGGTGATACTCAGAATATCTAACAACTGTATTGTAGAGGCAAGGCTGCCTTCATAGGCTTTCCACCTGTGCAAGCACACAGGACCCTGTGCAAGCACACAGGACCCTGTGCTTAGAAGGGCCCCATGCTTATTTTAACATTCTGCTGTTGAAGTATTAAATTCTTAATAATTTCCGAACAAGAGCCCTTCATTTTCATTTTGCAGTGGGCTCCACTGTGCAGGGGGATTCACCCAATCACAACAGAATTGACAGGAGTTCTTCAGCACTGTGTCAGGCATTAACTGTTTAGTTTCTGGGTCCTGGGAAGATCCAGACGTTCTTTGGGGAGAGACTCAGGTGGGAGGGGAGCTTGAGGGTGGTGGCTAGCTGCCAACTTTCTTGTGCCTCCTCCAGCCCTTGGTAGTTCTGGGGTCCCTTACATAAGAACCTCTAGTTCAGTCTCTCTACAAAGTAAGCCTTCCATATCCTGATTATTTGTGGGGTGGGGGTAGTTGGCTGATTGAACGGTGTGGAAAGTTGCTCTGGCCACCAGCATTTCCCTTTAAGAATTTTCAACTAATCCTCCTGTTTTCTGCTATCCATTCATCCCCCCTTCAGAGGTACCTGGTATCACCAGGTCCTGAGCTTTTCTGGGATTTTGCAGAGTGAATTAACTTGCTTCTTGTCCTCATCCCATTGCACACCTGTCCCTGCTACCATAGATACTTCACTTTCACCTTTGTCTGCTATAAATCAGTTACCACTCATCCATCTGCTATCTAGCTTACGAGATTGTGTTGCCATGCTGGTCAGCTTTAGCTCGTCTGGTCTCCTCTCCCATTCTCTATGTCCTTGTGTGTTTATTCCTTTTTGATTCCTCTGCTGTCATTTTAATCAAGATTTTGGGAAAGCAGCAAACATAAATGGATGTGTCCAGTCTGCCTTCCTTAACCAGAATCCATTGTGATCATTTTTAAGACTGTGATACCAAACTCATTTAAAAGTTCATCTCCTCTTCTCCACTCAGCATTTGCTAGACCTGTGACTCCAAAGGCTTGGAGTTGAGAGAGGAACGTAGTCTGTTATTCATATACTTTTCCTTTGTCTCTTCCCATGTTGGAGCAGGAAAGAGAGATAAGGACAGAGTGCCTGCCTCCTGATATAACAGTACAGTTGCAGTCCCTAACTCATTGTCTATAGACTCCATGGGCCCAATGTGCCCCACTAAGGAGGTTCTCAGTCTCATGTAGCTCCTCTAAGCACTGACAGTCTCCTTAAGATTTAGCTACCTCTTCTGGCCCTCAGCTGGGGACATTCATGCAGCATCCCCACAGTGTGCATGCCTCTTTGCTCTCTGATGGCTACAGAAGTCCAGGCAAGACCATAGCTCATCTGTCCTCCATAGTCAGTGCTGGAGTCAGCAGATTCATGTGAGATCCATATCTGAAGGTTGGGGGGAGCCAACCTCTACCCTTTTCCCCTGGTAGCCACCCACCATGCCATCTCTCTCCAGTTCTCTTATCCTCTGCTACAGTAGCACAAGGACAGGCAAGCCTTCCAGAAATCTTTGTACTCTGTAGAGAAGTGATTCCTAGCTTCTCTGGAGGTCACCAACAAAAAGGATTGTCCAGGGAGACTTTAAATTTTAGTAGTCATGTAAGAGCCACTTATAGCTAAGTAAATGCTAAAACATTATATATGTATCTTACTATTTAAAATATTACAAGTATATTTTACTATTTATAAGCTTAGGTAAATTGAGAATCTGATACATTTTCAAACTTTTTCAATAAAAGTTTTTCAGAAGCTATTTTAAGACTATATCTTCTGAAAATGCTCAGTAAAATTTAAGCAGGGTTTTACAACATGAAAACTATTATTATTAAATCTAGGATAAGTGTTGTGCTTAAGAAAAAAAGCCACTGACAGGGAACACAACAGAGAGTCCCAGATAGAGCAGGAAAAAAATGTAGAACAGAACCCAAATTCACATAAAAAGAGCAGCCTTAATGGTCTGAGAGAGACTGGAGGAACCCCCAAAACTATGGCCCCCAGACACACTGTTAACTCATAACTGAAACCATTCCCGAGCCTGCTCTTCAGACAAAGATAAGACAAGACTATAAAACAAAAATAATACATGTGAGAAGTGTGCTTCTTAGGTCAATCAGATACAAGAGACCAAATGGGTAACTCCTATCCAAAAGCAGGATGAGAAGGCAAGAAGGGACAGGAACTGGTTGAATGTCAGTTGACTGCAGCCCCAACATCATCTCGACTGTAACTTCATGAGAAACCCAGAGGAAAAAACCACCCAGCTAAGCCACTCCTCAAATCCTGACCCAGAAAAACTATGTGAGATGATAAATCCCAGTGGTAAAGGGAACCGGGGTGGAAAGGGAGAGTGTGCTGGCACATTGTGGCAATTGCAGATAATGTCACAAAACAATATGTGTGTAAATTTTTGAATGAGAAATTAACTTGAGCTGTAAACTTTCACCTAACGCACACTTTAAAAAAAAAGAAAAAAAGCCAAAATTTGCTGTCTATTTTAAATAGTAAAGCACTATCAAGTAAGAAATAAAATACATAATACTGTGTATTTCAGCCAAATTTATGCCCATGTTTTTAATGTAGTAGTTTTGATTAAAGGAGCCCTGGTGACACAGTGGTTAAGCACTCGGTTACTAACCAAAAGGTTGGCAGTTCAAACCCACCAGCGGCTCCTCAAGAGAAAAGACCTGGCAATCTGCTACTGTAAAGATTTCATTGGGGCAGTTCTAGTCTGTCACAGGGTGTTGCTATGAGTCAGAATTGACTTGATGGCACACAACAGCAATAATATTTATGATTAACAGGATGAGCTGTTCCGTACTCTCGCATCTTATAAACTAATTGCACCAAGATATAGATGGCAGAGAAGCAGATGGGGACGTACATGTCCTGTGACTTTAAAAGAAGGTAACATTTTTTCAGGATTACCAGATTGTTCTGTGAGGTAAGTAAGGTTTACAGAACTTAGTTTTAAAAATTATTTGTACATCTTGTCAGTTGCTTATTATTATGGTAAATTTTAAGTTTTCTAGGTAAAATGTACTGTCTTTCATCGGAAGAAGCATTAAAAGCATTTTCATTGAATCCACGTCCCTATCTTCTTCCACCTATGCCAGCACCACCATGTAAAGTATTCATATTTGGACCTCAACGTTCAGGGAAAACAACACTTAGCAATTTGCTTGCAGAAAAATATAAAGGACAGGTAACTCTATAGCTCTCTACCTATTGATCTGTCTGTCTATACTTGATTACAATTTGTAGAATTTTATTTGTACTCACTTTTCTTAATTTTATACTGTCAGTTGGATAATTTTACCACTGGGCTTTCTCACCTCACACAGTTTTTCTGGGTCGGGAATTGAGGAGTGGCTTAGCTGGGTGGTTTTTCCCTCTGGGTTTCTCGTGAAGTTATAGTCGAGATGATGTTGGGGCTGCAGTCATCTGACAGCTTGACTGGGGCTGGAGGATGGCTCGGTCATATGAGTGAGGCCACATAGATCTCTCCATAGGGCTGCTTGTGTGTCTTCATGACATGGCAGCTGGATTTCTCCAGGAAGTGATCCAAGGAGGAAACTTCAATGTCTTTTATGACTTATGGTAGTCTCAGAAGTGACACACTGTCACTTGCACCATACTCTATTCGCTTAAAGCAAGAACTAAGTCCTGCCCACACTCAAGACAAGGGAAATTAGGCACCATCTTTTGAAGGGAGGAGTATCAAAAAATTTGATATTTTAAAACTACCATAATATGTCTCAGACGAAGGGATGATAATTTTAAAATATAAAGAGTTTTTACATATTAATACACAGATGAAGCCCCAATGGGAAAAAATGGTAAACAAGCAATTGACAAAATAATAGATATAAATAGCCATTAGACATGAGAAAAGGGCCATCACCTCTCTGGTAACTAAAGAAATGGAAAAATAATAATGAGATATGTCATGTCAATCTCACTGCAAGAATTAAACACACCATTTTCCAGGATGGAGAAGGGTACATTCTCATACACTGCTGGTAAGAGTATAACTAACTGTTAGATATGGCAGTTGGGCATATGTAGAAAAGCCTAAAAACAATACATATCCTTTGAACTATCAATTTATTTTAGGAATTTTTCCTAAAGAAACTATCAGACAAATACACATACACACACACAATTGTGTTTATCATAGCATAGTTTATAATAACAAAACATAGATACCTAAATATATATTACAGTAAGACCTGTGATAGCTGGAAATCGACAGGACTGCCTTGTTCTTCCGGGTCTTGCGAGTTGTCTGCCTTTAACAGGGTGCAGTCTTAGCACTTTCCTATCACTGACAGGTTTCTGCCTTATACAGGTTCTGGCTTTTGAAGGTTTTACTGTGTTGATATTTTAGTTAAATAAGTTGTAATACACTCATCTAATGCAGTACTGTACATTGTTTAAAAAATTATGTGGATGTATATTCATTGGCATGGAATAAAGTAGTATATAGGCATATTGAAGGAAAAGCAAAACAGAATCTAGGGGTCTGGAAATATTATTTAAACTTAAAAAGCATATAGAAATCTATTTCTAAGATCCCAACATTAGGTGTTATAAAGCCTATTATATACCTGACAAAGGACTTGTATCTAGAATATATAAATAATTCTAACCCAATCTTTAAAATAGGCAAAGTTTGAACATACACTTCAAAAAAGAAAGTATGTGAATGATCAACAAGCACATAAAAAGAATCTCAAATTATTAATGATTGGGGAAATGTAAATTTAAACTAAACGAGATAGTCTTCAATCCATGAGAATTGCTAAAATTGAAAATTTTCACAGAACTAAGTGTTGGTGAGGGTGCAGAGCAACTGGAACTCTCATACATTGCTGATAGGAATTTAAATAGTACAACCACTTGGGAAGACAGTAGGACAGTTTATTATAAAGTCAAATACATACTAACCGTATGACCCAGTAATTCCACCTCTGGTATTCACCCAAGAGAAATGAAAACATATGTCCACAAAAAGACTTGTGTCATGGTTTGAATTATGTCCCCCCAAAAATGTGTATATCAGTTTGGCTGGGCCATGATTCCTGGTACTGTGTGATTTTCCTATGTGTTATAAATCCTGCCTCTATGATGTTAATGAGGGAGGATGGGTGGCAGTTGTGTTAGTAAGGCAGGACTCAATCTACAAGATTGGGTTGTGTCCTGAGGCCATCTCTTGAGATATAAAAGACAGAAGCGAGCAGAGAGACAGGGGGACCTCATACCATCAAGAAAGCAGAGCTGGGAGCAGAGCGCGTCCTTTGGACCAGGGTCCCTGCGCAGAGAAGCTCCTAGTCCAGGGGAACACCTAAGAGAAGAGAGGAAAAGCCTTTCCCTGGAGCTGACGCCCTGAATTTGGACTTTTAGCCTACTTTGACTGTGAGGAAATAAACTTCTCTTCGTTAAAACCATCCACTTGTGGTATTTCTGTTATGGCAGCACTAGATGACTAAGACAACTTGTATGCAAATGTTTACTTCTGCTTTATTCATAATAGCCAAAAACTGGAGATAACCCAAGTGTTCATTAATAAATGACTGGATAAAAATCTGTGGTATACTCATACATTGGAATACTAGTCAACAATGAAAAGGAACAGGTTACTGATAAATACAATAAATACAGATACATACAATAACACAGAAGAATCTTAAAATATTATATTTCCCTGAAAGCCTGAAAAAGATGACATACTGTATGGTTTCATTTATATGAATTTCTATAAAAGGCAAAACTAATCTATAGTGACAGAAAGTAGAAAGTGGCTGGCAGGGGTCAGGAATTGACTACAAAAGGGCATGAGGGAACTTTTTAGGGTGATGGAAATGTTCTATATCTTGATTATGGTTGTTGTTATATGTATATATTTATAAAAACTCATCAAACTGTATACTTAAAATGGGCACCTTTTATTGTATGTAAATTACACTTACAAAGTTTATTTTAAAAATATATGTAACCAGAATATACATTACTTGATATATACATACCCACACACACTTATCTTACATGAAAAATATGACTAAATGTCTATGAAAGCAAGTACTCAAAAAATCAGTAAATTCTGAAGATAACGTCACTCCAAAGGCACCTCAAGCAGCATTAATGTTTTTGGAGCTATATATATATAAGCAAAGTATTCAATATTTGCAATAATTTATGTTTATGTTGATTTCCTCATGTAATCTTTGCAGGTTGTTGACTATGCCAAACTTGTTCAACCACGTTTTGATCAATCCCTTGAAAAATTAATTGGAAATACTATAGCTGAAGCCACTGAAACAGCTATTAAAATTGTGCAAGAAAAGCTTCTCGTAGAACTACAAAACAGAAGACAAGGTGAACCATCTTTTAAAAATTCTAGATAATTTAGTTCAGGTGTGATTTAAGTTTAAGTAAATAAGTAAGTGCAGTGACTTGAAGGCAAGGACTTTGTTTTGCTAATCTTGATAGCGCTAGCACCTTACACATTGCAGCCTCTTAATAAATGGTATTGAGTATGTATAAATGAGGAAAAATCAATTTTAGATGTCTAAGGAAAATAATCAGAAAGAACTTATAAATTTGGATTTCTTTACTTGTGCGTGTGTACTTGCAGGTCAAAGACTGAGCAGTATTTATACCTTCATCTACATGAATCATTAAAACAACAATCTACCTGACTCCTGTGGAGCTGTTTTGTTCTGTTTTAAGGCTTGTATGTCAGCCCTGTTGGCAGTGAATCTTTCTATCTGGGGAATATAAGTTTCAAATTCAGAAAGTCATAAAGCAGTGGATTTGGAAAAAGCCTTGGTGATCAATTAACACAATTCTCTAATTTTACAGATGAGGAATCTGAGGCTCATAGAGGTTTTAAAAAAAACCAAACCCGTTAATGTTGAGTTGATTCCGACTCATAGCGACCCTATAGGACAGAGTAGAACTGCCCCATAGAGTTTCCAAAGCTCTCATCTTTAGCGTTTGACTGCTAACCAAAAGGTCAGCAGTTCAAATCCACCAGCCACTCCTTGGAAACCCTATGGGGCAGTTCCACTTTGTCCTATAGGGTCGCTATGAGTCAAAATTGACTCAGTGGCAACAGGTTTGGTTTTTGTTTGTTTTTAATCTTTACAGAAACAAACTGCCACATTTTGCTCCCGCAGAGCGACTGGTGGGTTTGAACACCCAACCTTTCAGTTAGCAGCTGAGTGTTTAACCACTGGGCCACCAGGGCTCCTTATGAAGTTTAAATGGCTTCCTTAAATTCACCCAGCTAGTAGCATAACTAAGACTTGAACTCCTGTTTCCAAAATCCCCGTAGTGTTCTTTCTCCTGACCATTGTGCCTCTTGCTGTGTCTCACTGACTCCTTATCACATTATTTTAGAAGAGACACAAAGGCTTTTTTCTGTTTTTTCCCCAGGAAAAATGAGAGTCCTCATTTCCAGGCTACTTTTGAAATTCATTGATTCGTTTTGGTAGAATTTATATCTAGAGTTAGCCCCCTTGTAACTGGTCTCATTAGAATACATGAAAGTAGTTTAATGTAAACATCTCCTCTTAATAGAATGCCCTGAATGCAATACTTCATATACATTACATAGGGTCTTTCTCACTTTCAAAGATCTTGATCCATAATTTGAGATTAACTCCATCAATTTTAGACTAGATTCAACCACCGCTGTTTGGATTTCCCAGAAGATGCGTCCTCTTCTGAATTTAGCTTGAATTTCTGGCTGCTCCCTGTCGATGCACTGCTGCTGCCGCTTTTGAATGATCTTCAGCAAAATTTTACTTGTATGTGACATTAATGATATTGTTTGATAATTTCTGCATTCAGTTGGATCACCTTTATTTGGAATAGGCATAAATATGGATCTCTTCCAGTCGGTTGGCCAGGTAGCTGTCTTCCAAATTTCTTGCCATGGACAAATGAGCACTTCCAGTGCTGCATCCATTTGTTGAAACATCTCAACTGGTATTCCATCAGTTCCCAGAGCCTTGTTTTTCGCCAGTGCACAGACATCAGTTTGAATCTCAGTCACTTGCTGACAACTGTGGGCAAGTTACATAATCTCTCTGACCTTCAGTTTCTTCATCTACTAGAAGTGGAGATAAAAAAATGCCTACTTCATCTGTGGGCCTATTATGAGGAATGAATAGGATAATGCATGCAATGCACTTAGTATAGCTCCTGCATACAGTAAATGCTCAATAAATATTAGCTATAATTACTTTTTTTTTAAAGTACAGTAGAGCTTGGACCTCTTCCTTCAGTACTATCGGTTCCTAATCATATGCTACCTCCTGAAATGGTTGAACATCCACCAATTCTTTTTGGTACAGTGACTCTGTGTATTCCTTCCATCTTCTTTTGATGCTTCCTGCGTCGTTTAATATTTTCGCCATAGAAACCTTCACTACTGCAACTCGAGGCTTGAATTTTTTCTTCAGTTCTTTCAGCTTGAGAAATGCTGAGCATGTTCTTCCCTTTTGGTTTTCTATCTCCAGGTCTTTGCACCTATCATTATAATACTTTACTTTGTCTTCTCGAGCTGCCCTTTGAAATATTCTGTTCAGCTCTTTTACTTCATCCTTTCTTCCTTTCACTTTAGCTACTCGACGTTCAAGAGCAACTTTCAGAGTCTCTTCTGACATCCATTTTGGTCTTTTCTTTTTCTTGTCTTTTTAATGACCTCTTGCTTTTTCATGAATGATGCCCTTGATGTCATTCCACAGTGATCTTCGGTCATTAGTGTTCAGCGCATGAAATCTATCCTTGAGATGGTCTCTAAATTCAGGTGGGATATACTCAAGGTTGAACTTTGGCTCTCGTGGACTTGCTCTAATTTTCTTCAGCTTCAGCTTGAACTTGCTTATGAGCAATTGACGTTCTGTTCTACGTTGGCCCCTGGCCTTGTTCTGATCGATGATACTGAGCTTTTCCATTGTCTCTTTCTATAGATGTAGTTGATTTGATTCCTGTGTATTCCATCTGGTGAGGTTCATGTGTATAGTCGCCATTTATGTTGTTGCAAAATGGTATTTGCAGTGAAGAAGTCGTTGGTCTTGCAAAATTCTATCATGTGATCTCCAGCATTGTTTCTATTACCAAGGCCATATTTTCCAACTACCAGCCCTTCTTGTTTGCAACTTTTGCATTCCAGTCACCAGTAATTATCAGTGCATCCTGGTTGCATGTTCAGAGTGCAGAAGTTGGTAAAAATCTTCAATTTCTTCATCTTTGGCATTAGTGGTTGGTGGGTAAATTTGAATAATAGTCATATTAAGTGGTCTTCCTTGTAGGTGGATGGATATTATCCTATCATTGACAGTGTTGTATTTCAGGATAGATCTTGGACATCTTTTTGACAATGAATGCAACACTATTCCTCTTCAAGTTGTCATTCCCGGCATCGTAGACCATATGATTGTTTGATTCAAAATGACCAATACCAGTCCATTTCAGCTCACTAATGCCTAGGATATCGATGTTTATGCATTCCATTTCATTTTTGATGATGTCTAATTTTCCGAGATTCATACTTTGTACATTCCGTGTTCCAATTATTAATGGATATTTGCAGCTGTTTCTTCTCATTTTAAGTCATACACATCAGCAAATGAAGGTCCTGAAAGCTTGACTCCATCGACATCTTTAAGGTAGAGGAGTCAGCTCTTCCCCAGTCGTCTTCCGGCACTATATCAGACAATGTTCCACTGCTATTCATAAGGTTTTCACTGGCTAATTCTTTTCAGAAGTAGACTGCCCAGTCCTTCTTCCTAGTCTGTCTTAGTCTGGAAGCTCAGCTGAAACCTGTCCACCATGGGTGACCCTGCTGGTATTTGAATACCAGTGGTATAGCTTCCAGTATCACAGCAACATGCAAGTCTCCACAGTACAACAAACTGACAGACGAATGGGGAGAACCCATTTATTAGGTTCTCAGTGTATGCTCAGTTTTTGTCATCTTATATGATAATTCTGATACTTTCTAGTACTTTCTGCTCATCCTTTTGTTTTTCTGTCATTAAGTTATATTGATTGCTCCCCCCCCCCTTACTCTAGTGGTTAATTAGAAGTTTTACATGCTGTTTTGATGCATTTACTACCATTTGCCTTTGAATCGACTTCTACTCATGGTGACCCTGTGGGTGTCAGAGTAGAACTGTGCTCCACAGGGTTTTCAGCAAATCTTTTTTTTTCAAAAGTAGATCAACAGGACTTTCTTCCTAGGTGCCTCTGGATAGACTCAAACCTCCAACCTTTCAGTTAACAGCTGAGTGCATTAACCATTTGCACCACCCAGGGTTTTTGAGCCTGTATTTTTCTGTATGTTTGAATTGAATGATAACAGTAATAGCTAATAGGTGAAATACTTCATAATTTACAAAATGTTTTCACATGCATGATTTCATTTGTTTCTCAGAACATCTGTGATGTAAAATATTACTGTTATTTCAGATGAGAAATAAATTCAGCAACTCTCCCCCAGGTCAACAGAGTTCATGGCAGAGTTCAGAGTCCAGCCCTGGCCTTTGAATCTGAGTTTCATTCCACTACTCAGTTACCAAACCAGGAGACCACTGTTGGAGGCAGAGGGTTGGGCCCAGTGGCTGGCTCCTTTCCCTACCCAACCCCTCCTCCCCAACACCCAGCGGGCAAGGGAACCATGAAAATTGATACTCAACTTGAGGGTCCAAACAAGCAGGGGTAAGGCCAGACCCTGTTCCATTCAGCCACCCCACCTCCCCCAAGGACTGCCTCTGGAGCACAACAAGGGTGGGAACCTCAGAAGCACCCTTTTGGCCTAGTGAGACCTGGCCCCTTAAATATTCCAGACTGTGATGCAAATGAAACCGGCTCCTCCTAGAGCAGCCTAGGCCTCAGCCAGACTTAAGGTTGTTTTAAACATTAAAAAATGATAATGCAGATGATGGCAGTTAACCTGGAGCAGGAGCCTGGTGGCTTAACGGTTAAGTATCAGGCTGCTAACTGAAAGGTTGGTGGTTCAAACTCACCAGCTGCTCTGCAGGAGAAATATATGGCAGTCTGTTTCCCTAAAGATTCCAAAAAACAAAAACAAAAATCAAATCTGTTGCTGCAGAGTCGGTTCTGACTCATAGCAACCCTGCAGGACAGAGTAGAATTGCCCTATAGGGTTTCCAAGGAGTGGCTGGTGGATCTGAACTGCCCACCCACACTTTGGTTAGTAGCCAAGAGCTTAGCCACTGCACCACCAGGGCTCCACAGCCATGGAAACTCTATGGGGCGGTTCTACTTTGTCCTATAGGATCACTATGAGTTAGAATCCACTCAGTGGCATGCAAGAACAACGACCTGGAGCAGGCTTCCTGTGTGCCAAGCATTTTCTAAGTGTTTACATTCATCATCGCAATGAATCCTTGTAACAATGCTTTAAATTTTATGATCCACATTTTGGCAAGTAGAAATTGAGACAGGGAGATCAAGTAATTTACCAAAGTCACACAGCTCCTAGTTGAAGGAGTCAGAACTCAAACCTAAATCTGTCTGGCTTTAAAGCAAGGTTTTTCCATCACTAAGCCTGTCCACCTATCCCCAACTACCTTTCACTAACACAACCAATTATTATCTTTCAGCTGCATTAGCTTTAAAAGAATTTCAAAGAGAATTTGGAAGAAAGGAGTATGAAGAACTCCAGATGGGAGCATTTAAAAGCCTAGAAGACATGCACTCTTCAATTGATGAAGAAGGTAAAAAAATATATATATTGTTGATGTTATTGGCCAAATCTTTCCTGACAAATAGATTAGCTGATAAAGCCTATTATTCTTTCACTGTGGTAGACAATCAAGAAACCCTAAGAGAAAGCTCTCTAGAGGACACTGAAGAAGCCAAAATGAAGACAGAAAAAGTCTCCAATGATCAAAGTGCCAGAAGTGATAAAGATGGTAACAAACAAAATGAACTACAAGTGCCATGTTTACGGATCTTATTTCTATTTATTTCCTATTTGATCATACATTTACACTGAGCTCAAAATTACACACACACGCAAATGGAAACGTCTGGAGAAAAAAAGCTAGCTAGTTTGAACTGAAGAGCTATAGAACAGAAATAGATTTACTAGAATGAACAAGAAAACGTGATAAAACGAGGCAAACACAGTTAGAGCCCAAAGAAAATTTTTTAATGTTTTCAAACATGATCATGTAATTGTAAATTCTTTCTTGAAATCTCTCTTACTCTTTTCAATGTACTGAAATAAGAGAACCATAAACCCAGAGTTTTAGCTGCAAAATTTTATCATATAGTGTTACGTATTCTTATAAAATTTTTCTTCTCATATTTTAGCATAACTGAGAGCATGCAAAGTAAACTCTTTTTACCTTTTTCGGTAAGAAGGCAAAATGATAAATGTTATAACATTTAATTATAATGTAATAATAGCAATATTGGCAGTCCATGGTATATTCAATATTCTTCACCAACACTGTAATTCAAGGGCATCAATTCTTCTTCAGTCTTCCTTATTCATTGTTCAGCTTTTGCATGCATATGAGGCAATTTAAAATACGAATGCTTGGGTCAGGCAATATCTTTGCTTTTTATCACTTTAAGGAGGTCTTTTGCAGCAGATTTGTCCAATGCAATGCATCATTTGATTTCTTGACTGCTGCTTCCATGGGCATTGATTCTGGATGTAAGTAAAATGAAATCCTTGACAACTTCAATATTTTCTCCATTTATCATGATGTTGCTTATGGTCCAGTTGTGAGGATTTTGTTTTCTTTATGTTAAGGTGTGATCCATACTGAAGGCTGTAGTCTTTAATCTTCGTTAGTAAGTGCTTCAAATCCTCTTCACTTTCAGCAAGGAAGGTTTTGTCATATGCATATTGCAGGTTGTTAATGAGTCTTCCTCCAATCCTGATGCCACGTTTTCGCCATATAGTCCAGCTTCTTGGATTGTTTTCTCAGCATTAAATAGGATAAGTATGGTGAAAGGATACAACCCTGACACACACCTTTCTTGATCTTAAACCACGCAGTATCTCTCTAAGCAATAGTTTTAACCAGTCCTTTATGTTATACATTTATTTTCCGTTTCTTTCTTTCTTTCTGTTTTTTTGGCTACTATGAATAATGCTTCAGTGATGTATTTATACATTTTGACATAAGTGGAATGACTAGATTAATGAGTATGAAGCTATAGACAGAGTCAAATTGCTTTGCATAAAAGTTGTTCTAAATTATGTTCCCCTCAGTACTATACATAGTACATGTCTTTCCTTTCTTAGTATTTTATCTCTTTTTAAATATTTTAATTTTATTTGATTATTTCTAAAGTTAATATTTTAATATTTATTAGTTATTTATATTCTATTCTGAGGTGCCCATTTTTGTCTGTTGCTCATTTTTCTCAATCGTGTCGATTATATGGCCTCTGTATAAACTTTATATATTAATCTTTTATTTTTCATTTTTTTCAAAAATTAGGTGTTTTGTCTTTTAAATCAGCTTGCTGTTTTTGAAATTGAGATGTTTTTCATATTTTTATAGTCAAATAATTATTTTTCCTTTGTTGATTTTTTATTATTGTTTTATTGTGATAAAAATATAACAAAACACTTGCCAATTCAACATTTTTTGCATATGCATTTCAGTAATATTGGTTACATTCATCATATTAGCAGCCATCACCACTATCTGCTTCCAGATTATTCTACCACCATTGACAGAAACTCAGTGCCCCTTAAGCTTCGATTTCCTTTTTTTCCCTCTCCCTCCTACCCCTGGTAAACTTTGATCCCTAACAAACCAAAGGAAAAAACAAAACAAACTCGTTGTTGTGGAGTCAATTTCGACCCATAGCTACCCTATAGGACAGAGTAGAACGGGGCTTGCAGTCTTTACTGAAGCAGACTACCACATCTTTCTCCTGTGGAACAGCTGGTGCATTTGAACTGCTGACCTTTCGGTTAGCAGCCCAGTGCTTTAAGCACTGCGCTGCCAGGGCATATATTTGCCTATTTCATATAAGTGGGATTATACAGTATTTGTCCTTTTGTGACTCAATTATTTCATAATGTTTTCAACATTCATCCATGTTGATGCTATCTATAAATGTTCGGTAGAACTCTCCAGTGAAACCATCTAGTCTAGGACTTTTCTTTGTTGGAAGGTTTTTGATCACAGATTTAGTCTCTTCACTTGACATGGATCTCTTGAGATCTTCTATTTCTTCTTGAATCAATGTAGGAGGTTTATGTGTTTCTAGGAATTTCTCCATTTCTTCTAAGTTACCTAATTTGTTAGTGTACAGCTGTTCATAATATTCTGTTACAAAACTTTTTATTTGTGTAGGATCGGTTGTAATGTCCCCACTTTCATTTTGTAATTTGAGATATTTGCATCTTCTCTCTCTTTTTCTTTGTTAGTCTACCTAAAGGTTTGTCAATTTTATTGATGGAAACCAACTTCTGGTTTCATTGATTCTCTCTGTTGTTTTCTAGAAGTTCCTAGGTTGTGCAAATGGCTAAGCACTCGACTACTAGCTGAAAGTTTGGCCATTTGAACCTACTGAAAGGCACCTTGGAAGACAGGCCTGGTGATCTGCTTTCAAAAGGTCACAGCCTTAAAAACCCTATGGAGCAGTTCTGTTCTGCACACATGGTTGTCAGGAATCAGAATCGACTCAACAGCAATAAACAACAACAATAATTGTTTTTCTGTTCTCTATTTCATTTATCTCTCTTCTTATCTTGTATTTCCTTCCTTCTGGTAGCTTTGAGTTTGGTTTGCTCTTCCTTTTCTAGTTTCTTGAGTTGTAAAGTTAGGTTATTGATTTGAACTCTTTTTTCTTTTTAATGTAGGCATTTACAGCTATAAATTTTCCTCTGAGCACTGCCTTCACAGCATCCTGTAAGTTTTGGTATGATGTGCTTTTATTTTCATTGAATTCTAGGTGTTTTCTGATTTTTTCCTTGATTCATTCATTGTTTAATAGTGGGTTGTTTAAGTTCCACATATTTGTGTATTTTTCCAGTTTTCCTTCTCTTATTAATGTCTAGTTTCATTCCATTGTGGTTAAAGATAGTTTGTATAATTTGAATCTTTTAAAGTGTATTGAGACTTGCTTAGTGACCTAACACATGGTCTATTCTAGAGAATGATCCATGTGCACTACAGAAGAATGTACACTGAGGTGTTGTTGGTTGGAGTAGTCTATATAGCACTGCTAGGGCTAGTTGGTTTATATTGTTGTTCAAGTCCTCAATTTCTTTGTTGGTCTTCTTTTTAGATGTTCTGTCCTTTATTGAAAGTGGTGTACTGAAGTCTCCAACTATTATTTTAGAACTATTTTTCCCTTCAATTCTGTCAGTGTTTGCTTTATATATTTTGGGGCTCTGAAGTTAGATGCATATATATTTATAATTATTATATCTTCGTGATGAATTGACCTTTTTATAATTATATAACTCCTTCTTTGTCTCTTGTAATAGATTTTGACTTAAGGTCTATTTTGTCTGGTATTAAAATTGCCACACCAACTCCCTTTTGGTTACTATTTGCATGGAATACTTTTTTTTCTATCCTTTCACTTTCAATTTATGGGCATTTTTCTGCCTAAGATGTGTCTCTTGTAGATAGCATATAGCTCAGTCATTTTTTTTTTTTATCCATTCTGCCTCTCTCTGCCTTTTGATCGGCCTTTGTTGATTTCTTATATTATTCAACCAGAGATTTAATATATACGTATATTCTGTTTTGTTTTGTTTTTTTATTGGTTCAACCTTTTTGTATTTAATTTTAAATGAATCTATCATTTATTTTGTTATATAAGGTGGAGCAGCTAATTTTTTTGTTTTTTTTTTCCTACTGATTCAGAGAGGTATGTGCTTGCATGGTGTTTATTTCAAGCCTAATAGCAGTTGAACTGGGCACAATCAGAACCTCATCCCTCCTTCCCGAATGCATACACGTGCACATGTGTGCGGGCGCACATACACAGACTTCACAGAAGGACCCTCCACTTCCCCATGCATTAAAATTTTGGCTGGGAACACCATCGCTGCTGCCCAGCACCAGTACACAAAGAGGGACCCTCCTCTTCCTCCACATAGTCTGTTCCCTCTTTGAGGAGGCAGTCTATGTTAAAAGCAGACATCAGTGCCTCTACCCACTGCTGGAGGGATGCCTGGACTGCTAGTGTGTGCTGATGAAAAAAAGTTTTCTGATCAGCACCTCACACTCCTTCCCCATGTCTTTGAGATAAGCACAGCCTTTACCTCTTGGAGTCAGGAAGGTGTTAGTTACCTCAGAAAGGACAATGTTGATTTTTATTTCCATTTAGATCCACTGTTACTGTTATCAGTTGAGTTATTATCTTTATTTCCACTGCTGATAGATGTGTTTACCTATATTTGAATGTTATGGTTGCTATTTTAATAAAAATTTGGGAACATAAATGTTAGGTCACTGGGCCCACACTATAATCTTCTTTGGGAATCTGTCTACATTTTTCTTTAATATTATTCTGTAGGTTTTAACAATGTTTTATTCACAGATGAAAAAGAAAGCAATGAAAGTGTGTCCAAATTTAAAAGTCTGTCTCGAGGCCCTAGTCAAGAAGTAGAGCTGTCTTCCAAAAAAGGTAAGTTAATATTTGAGTAATTTGGTTCTCTAGGATTGTAGTTCTATAAAACAGAAATATCTCCTTCAGAATTTAGAGGAGAACTGTGTGATTTTTTTAAAAAGCATTATTAATATATAACTTACTCTTAAAGGGTACTCTGTCATAAATAGATGGACTGCAAAAACAGAAAAAATAACATGTGAAATGTTTTTTGTTGAAAAAGAATATTAGGAAAACAAAAGGATCTATCCTTCTGCTCTGCCATTCCTGGCATATGGCTTTCATTACCATTCACAATATGGCTGCTGGAGCTCCAGCCATCATGTCAGTGTGCCCATTAGCAAGAGGAGAAAAGGCAAGGGACAAAAAACGGGCACTTCCACCCAGCTGAGTCAGCTCTCTTTAAAGAGATGCCAGGGAGACTCACCAAAAAAAATTTCTGTTTACATCTCATTGGCCATCCAAAGCTATAGCAGAAGCTGGGAGATGTAGTCTTTTTAGCTGGGCACGTTGCTGGTCCCAACAAAATCAGAGTTCTGTTACTAAGGAAGAAGAGAATAGATATTGGGTGGACTACTAGCAGCTTCTAGCACATCTAGCATCTGTGCCTGGTTATTTCTGCCTCATTATGCCCCCTAATACCAAAGCTTCAGGAAAATATGGTGCTTTGTGGGAACTGCCTGGTCTCTCCATTTCTGAGAACAGATTTCTCACTTCAAGGCAGGGAGTGCAGCAGACAGCTGCTCTTTGAAAGCCCTTTTGGGCTTTTCTGGTCTGGGATCAGTTGGGCCCTGGCAGGAGACCCTGACAGATGGAGCCCTGGGGCAGCAGCTCAGGAAGCACAACTGGCCCCCAATCTCCTGTCTCATTAGAGCAGTAGATGAGCTTTTACATAAGGATGCAGCCTGAGAGCCACCCAAGGAGACACATCAGCACCAAATGAGGGCAAGAAGCAAGTGTAACACCTGAAAAACCAGCCTATGCCTCACTTTTCCCCATCCACTCCAACTTGGCCTACATCTTGTCTTCTTACTTTCCTGTGTAGTCTCATGCTTGTAATTGGAACCATTCATCTTGTTTTCTGACTCACTCCCTAGATGCTCATTTTTTATCTTAACCCCTGGAATCCTTTGGTCCCTACTTCTCCTCAGCTTCCTTGGTTTTGGCTCCTGCCTGGCATGACTTTCTTTTTGCCTCATTCATTTTCATTCAGAAGCACTGGCTTAAAGTCCCTGCTGATATTTTGTGATTCCTGAATTAACATTTCCTCTTTCTATTCTTATCTCCCTCTTCTTGGAGCATGTGCTGTAGTAACACAAAGATAATACTTTCCTTGGTCAAGTATTAACAATCATGTTTTATTGCCAATAGCATTGTCCACTAAAATCATTAATAGCATTACTTTATTGACTTATTTTATTTAGTTTCACTAGAAGACACAATAGAAGAGGTAACTGCAGACCATCCAGAGGTTGTTGCCATGGTTGAGGAAACTGTGAAAATGACAAAGGATATGAACTTCGAACAGCCATATGAGAAGCATGCTGAAATTTTAGAGGAAGTCCTCAGAGAGGTAAGAAGTCCAACTGTTAATTTTGACATAGATTTAACAATAACTATTCGAAACAATACAGACAAAAATGTTAATCTAGTGTGTATAGAGAGTCTCATTGGACAGTATTGAAATCTGTAGCTTCAAATTCATGTGCATTTTGTAGTCAACAGCGTTATGTATAATGTATCAGAGTGAACAGCTGCTGATGCTCTTTGGTAAATTTTGATTATCATAGAAATTATGTAATGTAATTTCATAGATTTAAAATTAATTCACTAGCTTTTAATGTCTTTGATTCAGTTCAGTTGGTTCAAAGATGGTGCATATGAAGCCAGTGACAAGGTTAAATATTTCATCTATGAGCTAATTAATCGTAGACCAGACAAATTTTGCTCCATAGTTAATTAATTTCCTCCAACCCCCTTGGCCATGTGTTCTGTGATCGTAGGGAGATGGGTAGACAAACGAGTGACTTTCTAATCTAAGGGGAAAATAAAACCTCAAATACAATGTCCCACCCGTGGTAAATCAGAAAGCTTATCTTTGATTTATAAAGAACAAGGTATCCATATGAGTCTGTTTTGTACAGAGATCCTAGGTAAGGATTCAGAGCAAAAATCAAAGACAGAGCAAATCAGTATGGACTTGAAATGAACTGTTTCTGTATTTCTTGTAATTTGAAGATGATATGATTTAAAGTGATTATGTGAAAGTATAGAACCACTCTACAACACATGGGTTGTGGGCCTTGGGTGGTCTTCTTGAGCCCCAGGCTGTACCAGCCTTCCTGACTCTCTGGTTCCCACAGTGTGTGGCTTTCTGCCTCTGAGCTTCCCATGCAGACGTTTCAGCCTCCTCTGCATCTCTTCAGGTTGTTCAATTATCAGTTTATTCCTTCAGAGACATTGATGAGGACCTACTATGTGCCCTGTACTATGCTAGATACTAGGGATATAATCAACACAGATCTTTGGCTACTAACCTAAAGGTTGGCAGTTTGAACCCTCCCTGAGGGTCCATGGAAGAAAGATGTGGCAAACTGCTTCCATAAAGATTGTTATTGTTGTTGTTTGCTGTTGTAAAAATTGCAGCCAAGAAAACCCTATGAAGCAGTTCTCCTGTGTTACACATGGTATTACCATGAGTTGGAATCGACTCGACGACAAAGGGTTGTTTCTAGTTCCTTTAAGGAGTTATTAGCTAGGTGTGGAAGACTGACATATAAACCAATAATTGAGTTATCATCTGCTAAGTGGTAAATAGAGATGTAAAAGTGTAGGAATTCCACAAAGATTGAAGCTTTCGTCTCTTGCTGTAAAGTGAGAGAAGGCATCCTAGAGGAGATGACATGCGAGTAAGGGGCATTTTCAGGACTTTGGAAGTCCCATACCTGCCCTTGACTGAAAATTTTCTCTATTCTCCTCAGTTTATTCTGGAGGATACAAATCCACCAAGAGCACTACTAAAACACTTCTAATGTAGAGATAGACATAGTGTCATTAGATGGTAAAGTGGTGCTCTGGAATTGTACAGGAGTTTAAATCCTATGAGATTTTAACATCAAAGCTGAAATCAGATTGTCATTTTTCAAGAGAACAGAGACCTGTGCAGAAGACTGTTTTACCTGTCATCAGTTTCTGTGATCTCTATGGTTAGGAAAAAAATTTTCAAAACTAGCTAGATGAAGAGATAACTCTTTCATTAAGTACCCGTTCAACTCATTTGCACATTTTTTTATGGGATTATTTGTCTCTTTTTATTGTTCTTTATATGTTCTGAATATGAGTCATGTGTTGGATATATTGAAAATATCTTTACAAGTATTTTCTATCTTAATGAATAGAAGTTAATTTTAATGAGTCCCAATTTATTAACTTTTTTCTTTCAGTTAGTGCTTTTTATGTCCTGTTTCAGAAAACTTTGCCTACCCAAGGTCTTGAAAATATTCTCCTAGATTTTTTTTCTGGAAATTTTGCTTTACCTTTCACATTTAGATCTATCCTGAAGAGAACATCCAAGTAGTTAATAAACATATTAAAAGGTACTCAACATCATTAATCATCAGAGAAATACAAATTGAAACCACAATGTGAGGATTAAGGTCCATTTGTTCATTATGGATACACAGCTGCTCTAGCACCATTGAAAAGACCATCCTTTCCCACTCTCATAAATCCAGTAGCTATATATGTATTGTCTGCTTCTGAACTTTGTTCTGTTCCATTAGTCTATATGTCTATCCATGTGCCAATACAACATGTATTAACTACTGTAGCTTTTATAATAAGTGTTGAAATCTGGTAATGTAAATCCTTCAACAGCCTGTTTCTCCTGTCTTTGCATCCATCTTTGTTGTCATATATATCATGGTTTGTTCTGCTTGCCTTTTCGAAATTATCTTGGCATCTATAGGTACTTTTCACTTCAAATACAAATTAAATCAGCTTGTCCGTTACACACACATACCTACTGGAATTTTGGTTGGCTTGCACTGAATCTATAGATAAATTTAGTGAGAACTATAATAAGTAATATTGAGTCTTCTAATTCATGAACATAGAGTATCTCTGCTTTATCTAGGTCTTCTTTAATTTCTCCCATCACTGTTTGTAGTTTTTAGTGTAGAATCCTTCAACATCTTTCATTAGGTTTTTTCTTAGGTATTTGATTTTTTACAATGCTGTTGTAAATGGTATTATGATTTTATTTTATTTTCCAATTGTCATTTCTACAAAGAAATAAAACCAAACCTGTTGCCGTCGAGTCAGTTCCAACTCATACTGAACCTACAGGACAGAGTAGAACTGCCCCACAGGGTTTCCGAGGAGTGGCTTGGTGGATGCAAACTGCCGACCTTTTGGTTAGCAGCCAAATGGTCATTTCTACAGCCATTTTTAATCTTCATTTTTCTATTGTGCCTTCTACTAAATTCCTTGTTCTTATCTGATGTTCACAGCCCATGCTCAAAGCAGACATGACTCATGTACCTTGGGCCTAATGTATGGTCCAGTCCAGGGAAAATAAATAGGTTTTATTTCACTTGCCATCTCTGAACAGTCAGGTGCCACTCCAAAGCCACATCTGATGTCAGCTTCTTTTAGACTCTTTTGAAATTGTAGTTTAGCAATATTTTAAACCTTAAAAATATAAAAATAATGATAGATATCATTTTTACCAAGGGAGGAGAAAGGTCCCTCCCTTGTAATGGAGAATGCATGGAAATTGCTTTTTCGATACTCAGCCATTTGCATTCTTACCTGGTTTCCACCTAAACTAGCTACAGAGCTCAAAATAGAAGCTGATGCTGTGGGACACTGGGTATCTTTCTCAGCAGCAACTATTGCTTTTCACACTTTGTGGAGTGAAGCTGTTACAACAGACTTGCTCAGTACCTAATAGAAAAATGGTAGCAGCATAAAGGGAAATGAGCCTTTGGTGTCGAAACTGCCACTGTATGTTTTCCAGCTCAAGTCTATGACTTGCTGTCTAATGTACATCCTAACCACAGTCTGTTTCTCTTGTCATTGCATCTTTCTCTATCATATATCGTGTTTTGCTCTGCTTCTCTGTTCACATGGTTTTTTCTCCAATATCTCTATTCTTGTCTGTTCTTTTACCTATTTTGCAGTCATTATGTCTGTGTCTCCCACATCTCTTCCTTGTCATGTCCTACTTTCTCTGATCCCTCAGTCTCTCCTCTCCTCTTTTCTCTCCTCTCATCTTGTTCTCTCTCTCTCATCTTTCTATATTCACAAGTAATAAAGTAAACATAAAATAGCATAGAATACAGAAATCCAGAAATGCAAAACATTAACTATTTTATTAAGTTAAAATTGCAAAAGAACAGAAGGATGAATGATGTATGAAAATATGTTCATTTTTATAATATCAGTTCCTCTCACTCACCCCTCCCTTGAGGATCTCAGAGAAAAGTGCCGCTTTATTTTCAGCTCATCAAACATATGAGAGACCTATCCTGTCATTCTCTGGTAGACGCTGAACTGGACAAAGACCAAGCCTACAGGCTTCCCAGAGGCCTTTCTACCACTTTCTCTTCAAGGCACAGTCTCTAGACTCAGTCTCATCATCCCTCTGGTTAGCCACATACTCTGGAATTCTTTAGGGTCTAAAATCCTGAGGAAGGTTTCCCCCTTCTCCTCCAGTTGAGTATCCCAACTGGAGAATCAACCTCAATAGATCCCTCAGCTGAAGCTGTTGTTGCTGATATAGCCAAAACGGGCATCCTCAGGTACCCAAGTCCTCATCCCCTAGACCTTTCCTTACCTCAGCTTGTGAATTTTCCTGGCCTTGAGTAGCTTGTGCAACTTCAGCAACAGCAGCACTTCTCCTTGGAACCACCTGTTTTACTGAAGCAATAGGATATGCCCATAATGTTTTATTTCTCTCTTTTTTCTTACTCCAACATTTGTGAATATGTGGCCTTTTATCACCTGCATCAGGATCACTTAGGATAAATTAGAGCTAGAAAGATAACTTCTGCATTCAGTTTGCCCACACAAACTCCTCCCAGAAAGAAGGAGCTCAGAAATCCTGGCTACGTTCTTAGGGAGAGGGTGGAAAAAAATATGAACACAAATGAATGTCTCAGTAAATTATCTTGCCACATGAGGAGTAGCAGAATACCTTTTTAACATGAGAAAGGTTTAGCTTGGTGCTGCAGATCATATAATATAATGTTAAAGTCAGAAACAAGACAGTGATATTCCTATCACATCCATTTTTAATGTTTCATGGAAATTTTAGCAATACAAAATGACTTGAAACATAAATAAAAGGACTAACTGTTAGAACAGAGAAGAAATGGAATCATTTTTGCAGATGACACTGTATATGTAAAAATATCCAAGAAAATAATCTGAAAAACAGTAAGAGCTAATAAGCATGTTCAAAAATAAAGTAGCCAAAGGAATAAAAATCCCATACACAACAGGAACAGAAGTGTAAAAAGACTAATAAACCAAAACCCGTTGCCGTCAATTCCAACTCATAGCAAAGGTAAGCTTAAAATAGAGATGGAGGGCCCACTTGAGTAAAATTATTAAACTTTATATGTGAACATAAGCAGATGTCAACAAATAGAGATATAATTTCTTATAAGTAAAGACAAAATGTTATTAAGTATCTTTTTCAAACTAACATAGATTTGATGCTATTCTATTAAAAATCTCAATTTTTCAAAACTGACAAAATGACTATAAAGTTTGTTTGGGAGAACAAATAGCTGAGACTAGCTAAGAATAATGTGGCAAAGAAAGATAATAGAGGGAGACTTGCTCTGCCAAAAACCCAAACCAAATCCGTTGCCATCAAGTCAATTCCAACTCATAGCAACCCTATAGGGACCCTATACGACAGAGTAGAACTGCCCCACAGAGTTTCCAAGGAGTGCCTGGTGGATTTGAACTGCCAACCTTTTGGCTGGCAGCCATAACTCTTAACCATTATGCCACCAGGGTTTCCACTTTCTCTGCCAGCTAGTAAGAAGTGTTGTAATGCTAGAATGGTATAAAAGCCTTATAGTCATACAAGAATCAACAGAATCACAGAGAAGGTTCAGAAACAAAACTCAGTGTAGATAAAAATTAAAGAAAGGAAAAGTTATGTAACAGTGTTGGTAAAATTATCTGTTGGGGAAAAAATGATTTCAATTCTCACCTCAAATCAAAGTAAAAATAATTTCCATATAAACTAGTTTAAATGTTTTGTTTTGTTTTGTTTTTTTAAAAGGGGGGTGTTTTTTTAAACTAGACGAAAGTGTGTGATATTAAAATGATCTTGGAATGATCAAGAAGTCTAGACACAAATGCAGTAGAAGAATTCTTAAAAAATATCAGTAGAGAGACTATTTAATGAATATCTCTCTATGAAAATCATGAAAATCAAAATTTTAAGACAAAGGTCAAATTGGGAAAAGTATTTGTAATAAATGTTACATATTAATTCCTAAATATAAAAATTTCTTACAAATAAATAGGAAAAATCTAATACCCCAATGTTATGGACTGGATTGTGTCCCCCAAAAATATGTACGGTAAATCCTAACCTCTCTGTTTGTGCTTATAAAACTATCTGAGGATGGGTTGTCTTTGTTATGTTAATGAGGCAGGATTAGTGTAGGGTGTGTCTTGAGTCAATCTCTTTTGAGATGTAAAGGAAGTTAAACAAGCAAGCAAAAGAAGGAGAGATGGGGTAAGATAGATGCCAAGACACGTGGAGATCTCCAAGGAACCAGAAGCAAAAGAGACAAGGACCTTCCTCCAGAGCTGACAGAGAGAGAAAGCCTTCCACTAGAGGCAGTGCTCTGAATTTGGACTTCTAGCCTCCTAAACTGTGAGAAAATAAATTTCTGTTTGTTCAAACAGTTCACTTGTGGTATTTCTGTTATAGCAGCACTAGATAACTAAGACACCCAATATAAAAACAGGCAAAGAAAGGATATAAACAAATAATTCATCAAAGAAGAAATACACATGGCTAAAGAAAAATTTTAATGTTCAAGTTTCAAAAAGATATGAAAATTAAAACAATTTCTGTCTTGTCAAATTGGCAAAGATTTAAAAAACTTACAACAATCAATACTAGTGAAAATGTAATGATTCAGTCACTTTCAAACACTGTTAAACCAAAAAACCAAACCAATTGCTGTTGAGTCGATTCTGACTCATAGCGACCCTGTAGGACAGAGTAAATCTACCCCATAGGGTTTCCAAGGCTATAAATCTTTAGGGAAGCTGACTGCTACATCTTTCTCCTGCGGAGCAGCTGGTGGGTTTGAACTGCCGAGTTGGAACCACTGACCTTTCTGTTAGCAGCCTAGCGCTTTAACCACTGTGCCACCAGGGCTCCTTAAACACTGTTGTTGTGTGCCATCGAGTCGATTCCGACTCATAGTGACCCTATAGGACGGAGTATAACTGCCTTGTAGAGTTTCCAAGGAGCAGCTGGTGGATTCAAACTGGGGAGCTTTTGGTTAGCAGCCGAGCTCTTAACCACTGTGCCACCAGGGCTAGGAGTGAAAATTGATTCAGATGTTTCTGAAAGGAATGTGGCAATGTATATGAAAACGTTTTAAAGTGTCCACTCCTTTATTTCTTTTGACCCAGTAATATGTCTTCTAGGAATCTAACTTAAGGACATGTGTAATGCCTGGACAAAGATTTATGTATGAAGATGTTCATCACAGTGTTATTAATGACTATAAAATTAGAAATTATATGAATTGTATAACAGTAAGGGGTTCATTAAACAAATTAGAATTTATTCATTTGATAAAGTACTATGACATCATTAGATTTAAAAAAAATATTTCAATGAGATTTTCAAATTATTATAATTATTGTATCTCAGTGCTTCTTGTCTTTGACTGAAACCTAAGCATTAACGTTTTTATTAACCGTTTGAATTTCTTTATAGCTTTCTGGTTTTTTCCTAATCCTCCAACTTCTGTCTTTCATAATGTATTTTTTTTTTTGTCCAGCTCTCTTCTTTTACTCCTCAGCATCTCTTTTCTCTCGCTTTCCCTCATCTCTTTCTCCAGCTTCCTCTTTTTTTCCCCATCTCCTCCCCCACTAATACCTTAACTGGTCATTATGGGACACTGAATAATATATAACAAAAATATATGGTTATATTTTTAATAAAGGCTTTTGATTTCCATTCTTCATTTTTAAAAATTACAGCTTTGATGCTTTAAAATTAAGGTTATCTTTTAAAATTAAGTGTCTCTTTTTCTTCTGAGAGTAACAAGAACTTAAAAGATAGTTGGTTAAGATGCACAAAAATTATATATCAAGGTAGCATCCCACCTCATTCCTTGACTTGTCAAGGTATGATTGTAATATTAGTGTGCAATTCTTCACAGGTAATGAAAGAAAACAAGAATAGATTTCCTGGTGCCCCAAAAGAAGGAGGATGGGTTGTGGATAACTGCCCTTTTACAAGAGAACTGTGGATAGTCTTAGTCGAGAAAGGAATTTTACCTGATTTAATAGTCTGTTTATCAGATATGGAAAACAATGGTTGGTAAATATTTGTCATTTAAATTTTGAACTGAAATGTCTATTGCTGATAAGATGTTTGGTTAAAGATGGATACAAACACCACCCCAGCAATTCCTGCATATGCAAAATGAGGCTTCCATCCACTGAGTAGGTGGCAAAGGATAGCGTCCTGGACCACTGGAGTTTCCAGAGGCTCTTATAATTTTTCTTTGAAGCTGAGAATTTAATACTTCCTCCTGGTCAGCAGCTATAACTTCTTTTTAATTTTTTTTTTCTACGTTAGGTGAAAGTTTACAGAACAAATATTTTCTCATTAAACAGTCAGTACACATATTGTTTTATGGCATTGGTTAACAACCCCACAACATGTCAACACGCTCCCTTCTCAGCCTTGGAGGACCCTTTTTTTTTTTTT